AGCAAAAACAATTAAGTGCATTTAGACAAAAAAGACAGTGCAATAACAATTTAAAAAGAGCTGTATCCTCTCATTCCAATCCTCATCTATTTCATCGTCTTGGCCGTTCCTGGGTCATTCTCCATCTCAAGCTTGACTATCTATTCTGGGGTTCCGAATGCTTGCTCGAAGAGCCAGGTTTTTACTCTCTTCCGAAAAGTCAGGAGGGAGGGGGCTGATCTAATATCCCTAGGCAGGGAGTTCCACAGCCGAGGGGCCACCACAGAGAAGGCCCTGTCCCTCGTCCCCGCCAAGCGTGCTTGCGAAGCAGACGGGATCGAGAGCAGGGCCTCCTCAGATGATCTTAACTTCCTGGAGGGTTCGTAGGAAGAGATGCGTTCAGATAGGTAGGCTGGGTTTGTGTGTTTTTGTTCTTTTTATCACTTTGGGCTACTGGTGCTGGGTCACGCTACTGATAAGTTACTTTGCTGCACTTTTATGAGGAGGGTCTTTTGTTAATAAGCCCATTCGCCAAACACTGCTTGCCTTTAAAAGGATGGCAACTTTGCCCATATGCTTCACCCACTTTCCTTTCACCTCTTCTTCCTTCCCTGTGTTGAATTATAAAGTTTCTTTTGGGTATAGAACAAATTACTCAGCAAGCACCAGCAACACTCATGAAGCTATTAAACAATTCCTGGTTAGACCAATGGAAGATATGGGGGATGTAAGGCTCTCCCAAGGCTTGGGAATAATATCCAGCACAAAACAAAGGAAATGATTCTTTGGAAACTTACTATGAAGGTCCATTCTTGCAAGGAAGGAGACACCCAGGAATGGGTTTTGCTACCCAGGCAGGTTTCACTTCAGTATTTTTATTGGATCCCTAGCTTCTCCTTTCAGTTCCATACAAAATCCAGAAATAGAACAAAAATAATACCGCCAGAACAATAATGATAACATGCCACTAAGACAGTGGGGCTGAATGTTTCCTTCTCGTCGGCAAGAATGGACCTTCATGGCTCAACCTCCAGAAAACAAACTCAGTCTATGTGATTATGTGTCTCTGTGTCACCTATCAATTAGTACAGTTGGTTAATCACTATTAGCAAGAGATCACACCAATCGAAAAGTTGGCAACTCAAAGCCTGGGTCAAGGTGAGCATCTGACCTTCAGCCCAACTCACTGTCCACCTAAGCAGTTCGCAAAAAGGTGTGAGTTGTGAGGAAAGAAATTAGGTACTGCTTAAGCAGGGAGGTATTTTACGGCACTGTAAAAAGGAAATACCAGAAAATGCCGGCAATCTAAGGAAGGAGTAAGTCTGTAATCAACGGCTCTTTGTCATAGAGGATGGAGCGATAGCACCCCCTGTGGCTGGAACCGAGCACAACCTCCAGGATGCCAAAGTTGGGAAAATGCCGACATAATACCACTATCTGTTGTTTGCCCTGTGTGTTTAATGGCATTGAATGTTTGCTGTGTATGTGTTCTGTGATCCGCTCTGAGTCCCCTTTTGGGGTGGAGAAGGGCGGAATAGAAATGCTGTAAATAATAATAAATAATAATATAGTGACCCCATGCATTTCAGAAGCTTTCCATGGTCAGGGAATACTCAGAAATAGATGAAAGAAAATAAAGTAAAATATTAATTTAAAATAAATAATAATAAT